TTTTTTAATTCTCATAGCTATAACCATAACTGAAGCTAGTTAGGCTGTTGAACTGCTGCAATACTGTCCCAATTTCAGCTCAAATGGTGCCCTAGATAAACATATTTAACCAAGAATCAGCGAAAATAAAAATTCGCCCCACCCAACTATAATTACCACACTCATTAGCAAACAAGAAATAGTACAAACTTTTGCAGAAGTTCGGATTGTTGTCAAGTTATCCATCTAATCATCATTCGACTCCGAGTCATGGTAATTTAAGGTAAAGATGAACTAATTTGTTCGGAAACGAAACGATAACAGGGAAAAGCTCAAGTCGTATGAACCAAACAAGGAAATTCAGCTGAAGTTCGAATTTAAGGATAGCAACTATCTTACATCACCCAAACCCTAGCCTGCAAACATGCAAATCCAATTCCTCAACCGCACGTAACAGCATCAACAAAACCACGAACCCCTCTGAACTTCTCGCAACAATAGCTTACAAAACCAAACAGAAACATTAAGAAGCCCCTACAAACCCACCTAAGATCTAAAACTTCAGTAAAATGTCCGCAGACTCTGGCAACGAGAAAACAAACGAATCAATTACAGTAATGAAATGAAAATTATTTCTGAAACATTCTCGTTGAATAAACCGGTGAATATACGAAACTTAACTCACCACTGCTATCTATGACGCCATATTCCATAGAACGTCAATCTCAGTCCGATTGAAACGACGTCGTGCAATGCGTTTCAGCTATTTTCTTCAGCCCCTTCGTTTTTTTGTTTCTAACAGTAGACACGTAGACAAGAAAGAGAGAGAGAAAGAGAGGGGAGAGAGAGTGAAAGCGAGTTGGAAGATGAAGCTTATATAAAGAGATGCAGAGCTGCGACGGTAAACTCCGGCGAGAGGGGAGCGATGAGACACTTATTGGGCCCACGTGCCACGTGAAGTCGAAGATACATAATTGGCGAAAATTTAACGGGCTGTTTTGATGGGTTGGGCCTTAATTATTCAAATGTCCACTGGACTCTTAATTGAATAGATTGGAGTCATTGGACCACATACACAGTAATTTTTATCTTTTTTAGTTGGATCACACACATTCGCATAATACCGATACGATTGTGCACTAATGTTCCCCTACCTACAACAGACACATGTTAATATGCTCACCGCTTATGTGGCATGCACACATTGGTGATTTTAATATATTTAAAAAAATACATCACCAATGTGTGCATGGCACATAAGCGGTGGACATATTAACATGTGCCCACCGTGAGTAGGGGAGCATTATCTTACGATTGTGTGTGCATAATGTGAAGAATAGTTAGATGGATCGATTCATTTATACTACACTATCGAATGTCACGTATTTGGTTATGTTGGTTTCTTAAGTATGATTTTTTGTTTTAATAAATAAGTTAAATGAAATAAGTATGATTTTCTTAAGTATGTTGTTTTCATACAGTACATGCTGTTGTGTCCTCGGTACATGAAATAAGTTAAATAAAAACTGTACAATATTCCTCCATACATATTCACCAGTACACTTGCCGAATTCACTTCATTTTTGGCCACATTCTAACTGAAAGAGATCATATGGAGGTCAAGCACAAAACTCTATCTTTGTCCATTTGCTTTCCTTCTAGTAATTTCCCATCTCAGCCCATCTTCCCCGTTTTTCCAACCCGATCGTGGGGAAAATGCAAAATTTATGCTAAATCTATCTCGAAGAAAGTTGCTGCACGACACTCATAAAGAGAAAGTGGTGAGTGATTATGGCCGAGGCAAGAAGAAGGTCGATAAAGCTGCGGATCAAAGCCTAAGAACAAGACCACCGAGTATTCCGAATCCTAATCAGAACTGAATAAAGATGGAGCAGAGAAAAAAGAGACTAGTCCTTGTTATTTCTGTTAGTTTGTTGGCTTTGTTCTTTTTTTTTTCTCTTTTGAGGAATACGATGCTTATATTGTCGAGGAAGTGATTTTATTGTCATAAGGCATGATCGTTTAATCGAGTACTGCTTACAAATTCTTTGAAAGAAACTACTGATCTTCAACCTCTCATTTGAGAAGCTGCTCCTGAGCATGGCTTTTGTCTGTCTGCTCTTTTTGCCATTTTTAATTAATTAGTTCATTGATTGATTTATCTTTAGCATGCTAGTTGTGTACCTCAATCTAATTTGCTGCTTTTGCACAAATTATAAGTCAATAGATAGGATTACACAGTGCTTGTTGTGTCATTCATCTTGGCTGTTGTTCTGCTTCTTGCTAATATAGGTCTAAACTAACTACTAAAAGTACTTTTTTTTTCCCCATTATTTACATGTGATAGGTTGCAAATGAGCGGAGTTGACTCAAGCATTGACCTTATTGAGATTGGCTCAATTATTTTGACTGATGCTCGAGCTGGATGAGCCGAACATTTTTAGGCTCAGCTCGTCTTGATGAACAAAAGCAAGCATTGGAGATCGGCTTGAATATTGCTTTAGTTCGCTCGAACTTTCACCAAAGAAAGTCGAGTTAGGGTATTTAGATAATATTACAGATATCCTAGTGGCTCACCTAGCATTCGAGCTTATTAACTACAAGCTCGAGCTCGAATTCGAATTCAGGGTGCTTCAGCTTGACTCGAATTCAATTTATAGTTTTTTCTTTTTTATTTATAATATTTGGATTTAGTGTTTGCAAAAAAACCCCTCTATAACTTGCTTCATTTTCAATAGTTGCATGCAGGCCTGATTATGAGAGGGATGATAACAACAGGTAATGAATTGCTCTCAAGATTACAATCAGACAAGTGAAAATGAACAACTCCGTTATTGAATCCACCGCTTTCGCTATTTAGACGAGGTTTTACCGATATAGAAGCAACGAAAAACAACACTACCATATAACTAATCGTGTATGATCAAAGGCATTAACAGTAAAACGTAAGTAAAAACTCCTCCACTCCAAGGGAGAAGGATACCAGTGTAAGTAAAATGTATAAACGCTTTCTCGAGCCATCGTCATTTTCTCAAGCCTGCAACAAAAGTGAAACGATCAAGAAAACGTTTATTACGGAAAAACGGGTTACATATTCATTTTCAACTGCAAAAGTATCACCTTTTCAACAGGTGGGGTGGTGAAAACTGCTTTGACAGCCTCAAAAACTTGATTAACCGGTCTAGCAGCATTAATCTGAATTGCAAAATCAAAACAAAAGGAAAAAAAAGGAAAGTATGGTGTTAACTGTTAAGCTTGTTCATTTGCATATGAAATGATCACGATAGGAGTCGAGTATGATGATGAAATTTACCTTGCGAACTTTCCCTTTAGTATTGTAATATTCAATCACCCGAAGACTCGAATCCATGTACACCTTAAATCTCTTCCTAATTGTCTCTATGTTATCGTCTTCTCTACCCTGCAAAAATGAAAATAAATACATGCACACAATAAATAAACAACACCAATAAATAACGATAGATATATGTGAATAGGATAAAAAATAAATAAATAAACAATAGAGATGAAGTGTACTTGGTTCCTACTCAACAGGCGCCTCTCCATTTCCTCCTCTGGACAATCGAAGAAGAGTACAAATTCTGGCTCAATCCCAGTCTGCAGTAAAAGAAAACGAAAACTAGTAATAGCCGAAGAACATATTCAAGTATATGTCGAGACAGTGAGTATACGTAAAAAAAAAAAAAATGGACTCACTACAGATTCAAATGCTGCACGATTTTCCTCATTGCGAGGAAAGCCGTCAATCAGAAACTTGTCGTTGCTGTTTTCCTCGATTGCTCGTTGGAGAAGCTTAATTGTTACCTCCGAAGGCACAATTTTTCCCTCCTTAATCATGTTCTGAATCATTGTCCTGCATATACAATTCATGTTAAATAAACGCAATTTTTCTTTAAGTATTTTGCAGAGAACACAAATGCACACAACACTAAAATGATACCCATTTTCAGAACCGGATTTTATCTCTGCTCGGAGAAGATCACCAGCACTGAGATGAGTATAACCGAAATTTTCGACAATGTTTGCACACTGAGTGCCCTTACCACTACCTGGCCCACCTGTCCATATTCAGAAAGGACAATATAAAAAAGTTGTCACGATATGCTTAACCGAAAAGAAAGAATTTTAGAGAAACTTTGTGCAGGAACATAAGGTATTTCTAATTGGCAGAAATACATGGAAAGAGAGTGAACGAAATCAGAATAAAAATTGCAAAGCACTCACCTAGAACAAAAACAACGGTCACCTTCTTGCCTTTGGGTGTACTTCCATTTACTTCCTGCAACAAATGGAGTTATGTAAAATTAATCTGTGTATCATATGACCTGAAAATTTGAACAAAAAATAAAATAAAGAAATAAATAAACCTATAAGAAAGCACCTTGTTAGCAGCATCGACAATTGTGCCCATCGTGCCTGTGGCCATTCTGATGATATACTATCTACACATAAGCAAAATGCAACAAGGACATACTATAAAACACAATAAAGAAAAAGGCAAATCAAAGCAGCTATAAATCTGTATCAAATTCAAATCAAGGCATTCGAACTGATTGCAAAGCAAAAGGTAAAGTGGGATGAAGCTTAAAAGATTCTTCATGGTGATTAGCTTAAAAAGCTCAAACAGTCTCAAATAAAAGTACAATAAAAAACAAAGTGTGTTTGTTCATAATACAATCTCAAACATACGTTTAGCTTTAGGTTGGAACAGAATTGTGAGCACGCAGACTAATGTGAAGATCCTTATTTCAACAATGTGCAATAATCAAGATACTCCCTTTGTTCATCATCAAACATTAAAGGAAAAAAGCAATAGAGATCAAAATAAGCTGAAAAGATCAATCTTCAACATCTGATCAGAGGACAAGATTATGATACATTCTGCAATAGTTTACAGATCAGGACACATTGTACCCAGTACAAGGTTAATGCCGTCAGATCCACATGAAAATGATCAAATTACAAGACCTGAATCAATTTAAATACGAAAAAAAGATCAAATCTTCAGACAGCACTTAACCAAGAATCATATGATTGAACAAAAGTTCCAATCTTTTGAAGAGCCCTGCAGATTTAAGAGCAAGAACATCTGGAATGGCAAGGACCCACATCATTATACGACCAGATTTTGCTGGAACTGTGTAGATCAGCCATGGCTAGGTACTAGCAGAAAGAAGAAAAGAAAACGGTTTTACCTCTTGATCAGTTGATCCAGCGTGGTGGATGTATGGAAACAGAGACAAAACATGGCAATATTGTTTTTGTGTTATATAATCATAAATACTAAAATAAATCAAAATTTAAATAGACTTTTTTGTTTGGTGTTTTATAATCTTGTTGTGTATGTATTTTGTAATTTCTCATGAGCAATTGCATGGGCTCTTTGTAGGGAGAAATGCTACGGTTCCGTTACAGAACCATTCCGTCGGAGTTTGTAACCGTTAGATCATGATGTAACCGTCGGGGATAGTTGATCTAACGGTTACAAATCGCGACGGAATGGTTCTGTAACGGGACCGTAGCATGATTTTGTGTAGTAATGGGATTTGGACTTTGAGGACCAGTTAATTTGGGCCTGCTTTCACATTTTGTATTGTTGGATTCATATCTTTACTGTGTGATATATTTTGTGGGATTTTTACTGTGATTTAATTATATAAATTTGACTTATAAGAGCTATGTATAACTATACTTCATTTTTTTTTTTTTTTCAATTTAAACAAGTTTAATCAACTAAATAGTAAATACCATGTTATTTACCTAATTATTACACTAAATATAGGATACATTTTTATAATAATCATATTTCTTGGTACAGGGGACAGTAGAGCTTCTTTTAAGAAGCAAACAGTCATATTTTTAACCTTTAGAGAAAATATGTACTTGGCTTTTGGAACACATGAATACATGATGTATATGTCATGTACCAAGCAAAACAAATATACCAAACCTTATGTTCTCATGAGTTCTCACAGAATCAAATGTTTACCTGCAAATCAAAGTTAAACCCATATAACTCATTATAGGAATCACTGACAAATACATATATATAGCTAGTCATCTTAGCCAAGCAATTATATTCAAAATTCACCCCAAATTCTTCACTGATTTTGCTCAAATCACACAACCCCTTAACCCAAAAACCCCTCAAAAACCAAAAACAAATAAAATTAAAACAAAGAAAGAAATGAAGAAAAGGACCTCACAACTTATTTAAATGTTATATCACATATCAATTATCATACACTTCTAGCCAACATTTCTTGAAACCTTCTGTAAGACTCCTGTTTTTCCAACCTGAACTTCTCGTGGCAATTCGCAATGAACATGTCGGCTAGCTTGTCGATCTCATTGCAGCTCGAGCAATATTCCTGATTATCACTATTATTATTATTATTAGCATTCCCTTTTTCCTCAAGCCATTGCAAGTATCTCGAAAGCTCACCATCAGACTCTTGCGCCTGCTCGTGATAACAACAATTGTCGAACGAAGCCGGTTTGATAACAGAATTCCAGCTCGGATCATCATAGCTAGAGTTGTAGCCTTCTTGTCCTAAAGGCATGACGTGTGAGGAGCACCAGTTGTAGTGCAGCCTAAACGAGCCGAAAAAGAGCTTTTTTGGCTTGTTGCTCTTGCTTTTCTTCAGTGTTGGCAAGTCCACCAAGTAGATGAAATGAATGTCTCTAGCAAGTTTGAGTATAAACGATTTTGCTCGCCCGAAAGCCCGAGAGATAGGGTACATGCGCGGGAGTACAAAGGCTCGAAGAACGGTTTTGATTTTCATGGAGCTCATGGAAGAAAAAGAAGAGGAAGGTGTTTTCATGGTGAACATGTGAAGGGAGTAATTGGGAGTTTTCAAGGGTGTTGAGGGGATTGCCATTGCTTTTTTTTTTTTTT